GAGGAGGAAGAGGGGGAGGAAAAGGTCCCCACGATGGAGGAGGAAGAGGAGTAGGAGGTGTAGGAGGAAGAGGAGGAGGAGGAGGAGGAGGAGGAGGATGACGAAGGAAAGTAACTGACCTGGCGCGGGTGGGCGATAGCGCGTGGGTCCCAAGCAACGGCAGGTGACGCGCGGCCGCGGACGGAGCYCGGCAAACTGCAACGCCGAACTCTGACGACGAGGGCGAAGTTGTGCGCGAGGGACGGCTGCGCCAAGCGTGAATTCGAATTTGAATTCGGCCCGATTTGGGTCATTGATCTTGAAGATCTGACGACCCAGATTGGGCCTTTTTCAATTTTGGATTCCTAGGCCCTACCGGCCTCGGAAAAGAATTATCTTGGCCCGCCCCGCTTCGCCTGTGCCCGTTCCCCACCCCCAAGCCCCCCCCACGCCCTAAAATGCGCCCAACATATTTTTTTGCCTATCGCACGGACTGTCTTGGGAGGACATCCGCGGCCCACATAACCGTCCGACCGGACAGTCCCGGTCGGTCAGGGGGGGTCCGGACGTCCGATCGGGCAAGCTAGCAAAATACCCCAAAATTTCGACCGCGAAAGACCGCCAGCGGCCGAGGCTTGCGGTTGGGATCCCGATCGTGGGCGGAGAGTGAGTCTACGGTCATGACCGTGGGGGATTCATAGTTTCCCATTCATTGAAAATATACATGTATGCTAAATGAATTTTTTTTGCTTCTAATAAATAGTTACAATTATACTTACTTTATTTTTGTCAAGTTGCGGGGGGGGGAGATGCACCTCCCTCTCCCCACGTCGGACTTGGATCCATATCATTCTTCACCACACACACACACATGCACACACTTTTTTTTTTTTTTTTTAACGGGGCAGGCGGGAGGCACTCACATAGGACATGGATCCATATCTTGCTTTATCACATGCAAAATCCGCACCGCAACTGCTAAGAAGTGCGCATGAATTTTTTTTTTCTTCAATAAATAGTTAAGAATATACTTTCTTTGTTTTTGTTCAAGTTGGGAGGGCATTCGCGCTCAACCCCCCCCCACCCCCACCCTTCTCTCGTCAGACTTGGATCCATATCTTGCTTCACCACGCACAAAAGTTGCACCACAAACGATGAGAAGTGAGCATAATTTGTTTATTTTTCTAATCATACCCCGTGAGCAGCATTGGCCGCGACGGGAGGCCAATGGTCCACTGCGCTCCGAAATCGGGTCAAAGTTTTGATGAGGGACGGCGGATGAAGGCGATCGAGGCCGAGGGAGTGTGTTGAGTGTCGCGCATACCGAGTTGTTCACAGTGCATTTGAGGGGCAGGGCACATGGACGACGTTGATGCGGATGAACATCTCTGTACAGGAGTGCGATTGTTTTTCCTTGTGCAGACCGGAGATGACCCGACAGGCAGGGATTACCTTATTATCCACGGGCAAATGCGTCATTTTCATGTGCGGAGAGACGATTGCGGTGATCGGATATTGTCCGATGCGGAGGCACAGGATTACAACGGCGATGATGAGACGTACCACTGTGCGTCATGGTGGTTTGCCCTCGGTGGTGCCTACCCAGAGTTGTGTGCCATCACTATCCGTGTGATGCACATGTGGATGTCAACCTCTCTTGCGGAGAGGAATTGGGCGGCCCATGAGCGCATTCAAACGGCAAAGCGGAATCGACTTAGCTTTGCCAAGCTGGCACACCTGGTTTATATTACCACAAATCTGAACATGGCTTAGTGCAGGCGGCAGGGTAGCGGGTATGTGCTTCCGTGGACCATGGATGACCACAACGATGAGAGGGATCGATAGGCGCAGGAGCAGGATGAGGAGGAGGGCGACCCGGAGCCAGAGGTGTGGGGGGGGGAACCTTCTAGAGGCACATCGAGGATTTCCATTGTGACGAAACATCTCATCCTCGAGTAGTGGCAGTCGTTTTTGGGGAGAGGGCGGCGACTTTGATCCCTTTCGATCATGTGCCTCCTTCGGAGTTCTTCCCTATGAGACGCAAGAGCAGACTCTGAGGGTTCTCAGGCGGTCTAGCAGGATGGGGAGGACAAGCGGACGGACCTGAAGGACATTGCGAGGGGCACATACAGATCCCTAGAGCAAGTGTACTTTATGTACAGCGAAGAATTAGATGGGTTGGCATCGCAAACCTCGATCATCAGGGACAATGCGCCAGGCGGG